AACCCCAAAACCACCATGCAGTGATTTAATTAATAGGCACTGACAACAATAAAAATTGCCAAACAACCCTCACATTCTAACAACCACAATTCACTAATAAGCCTATATATTAGTGTACAAAAAATTATTAACATGAAAATATGGTATTAATTCTATACATATATTTATATCATATTTTCATCTTCTCTAGTCAAAAGTAAAACTGATATAATTCAAAATCTGGAGATATTGCAGAAATAGGAGAAAGCGAGAAGGGCAACAGTGATAACACCTGAGACCATCTTGTCTTACATTCACCCTCCCTTTACCACCGGAACTTGCCTCTACTGGAATGGGATCCATCCCTCCGCAGTTTTCATTGCATTTGTCATAGACCAGTCTCAGCTTCCGGAAGAGAATAGAAAGCTGGCGAAGGTGGTCCTGGAGCTTCGCTAGCCGATCTTGGTATGTTCCAGTATGGTACGTGACACCATTTGGGAGCTTATCAGGCAAAACAAAACAACAAAAATAAAGAGTAATGAAAATCAAGACTTTCTATAAGTAAAGAGAGCAAACAAACAATCTTAAGTACTGCATAAAAGCAAACAGTTCCTCAGTTAATCAAGTGCAAGTTTAAGAATTTAAGAGTATCCGTGCTCGTTTCTCAGCTCCTTGGCATACTGTTTGTGCTGTAAAACGCACCCAGAAAGAAACTTGTGATAAGCCCCTCTGACCAGGTGAAATACCTTCCCCCTCTAATTTTTAAAGTATTACTTTAAAAACGTACAATTCTAATATTATTTACTATTACATAAAGGCAGCAAGTAGCTGGACTCAACTAGGAAGTGAAAAGTAAAATAAAATTTTAAAAAAAGAAGAAAAGAAATAAATGAAGACAGGACTTTTTAATATGCTGTTCCTGTTGCAAGTAATCTCAAGGTACCTTAACTGTGATAATTAAGATACTCAAGGCACACAATGAAATATAAAGTTGTCACCAAAAGTTTTCTTTAAAAATAACATATAGCAGGAGATATAATGCACATTGATCTGAACTTGAACATCATTAATAAATTATTATAAGTAACTGCTCTGATCAACTGTCCTGATGCTTATGCGTTTTTAATTCAGTAATTTTATCAAAAGAAGCCAAATGTATGTAATGAAATGATAAAAATCACAGAAAAATGGAAATCAATCATTATTTATTTAGAACTAATAACTAAATACGTGCCTTTTGTGCCTTCCTGAAACTCATGAACAAAATCTTCCTTTCTCTGTACAACTGTACATTTTATTCCCACAGTCTTATCTGTGCAGTCATCCTAACATAAGCATTAAAAACATTTACATCCTATTTTCTAATATACAAGGTGCTTTCATTATAAGCACTTGCCCTTATACTTGGGGGTTAAAGTGATAAAACTAACTACTTACTGTCTAATAGCTAGATCAGTCCAGTTCTTCTAAACCTCAGTTCATTTTTCTTTTTCTTTAAATAGATGAAATAAAAATGAAAAACAAAAAAGTTCCTGATACAATGTTTGGAGAAAAAAGAAAATAGGACACACTATTGTTATAAGTAAGGTAAAACCATAAACATGAAAAAAAGACTGGAAAGGCTTACATAGCTGATGAAAGATATATTAAGGAGATAGTCTTGTATAATTTACTTTATTCTTTTTTTACTTTCAAATTTTCTATAATGTTATGGTTTATAAGATAAAGAGATGGATCTTCTGAAATTAATTTGAATGAGATATTGTTAGGATTTTCAGAAATTCTTAAGCATTGAAACTTTCTGAGGACAGTGTCTCAAAGATAAAAAATACCAAAGGATGAATTAGTAAAAATAGTTTAAAGGAGAAAGGCATTAAAAGTTCACCACCCAGTACAATGGAGGACTTATCCTCTTAAGCTTTCCAACTTATGAACTTTCACAAACACTAACAATCAAAGAAATGTTTCAAAGGATCCCCGCTTTCCAGTTTGGGTGCTAGTAAGGAGTATAATGATTGTATCTTACATACAGAAGCACAAGGACCTTTCCTGTAGCATTGACGAGGCTGACTACTTTGCCCATATTTTCTACTTAGTGAAGACTGGAACTTAGTCACTTTTGTATCACTGTATTTAGTACAGTACTGACAAACAGAAGGTTTTAAAGTGCAGTCTAACTTATTTTACTTTAATGTTATTTTCCCAATATATCTATACTTAAAATTCACTTAGAAGTGTGTGCATGTAAAAAGAACTCTCAATAGATTTTTTCACAAAGGAAAACAAAATCATTTTGAAATGCAAATAATCACCCTCCTTAAATTCAGCTACTTAGTAAGTTTGGGTATCAGTTTTCATATACAACATCAGCTTCTCAAAGAAAGGAATAATTAATTCAGTCAAAAAAAATTACTGCACATTCTACATGTGTCAGGCGCTGTCCTAGAAACTGGGTTAGAGATGTTCTGATACTGCAGAGTATAAGTTATTATAGTGCCTAAGAGCCCTTGTTATTCACTGTAGTGTACATATTTAGCTGGAAAGCTCATCAATAATCATCTCCCTCATGAATGCTAATGAAGGCCCATAGATATATGATCATACCCCAGATACCAAAAAGGCATTCAACTAAATTCAATATCCATTCTTAAATATAAAACTCATACTAAACATTCCCCAGTGTGATAAAATACATTTATCCCAGTTAAAAAGTAAGCACAGCACCACGATTAATATGGAAACATTAAAAGCATTCTCAATGAAGTCAGAAACAGAACAGGATGTCTACTAAGACCACTAATATTACTAGTGAACACTATTCTGGATGAACTGGCCAATGCAATTAGAGAGGGAAAAAAGAAAAAAAAAGTTAAAAAGAATGTGGTATAATCATCACTACAGAAGATATGAGAAAGTGCTACTATCAATAAAAGAATTCAAGAAGGAAGTGGGTACAAAGTTAAAGTATAGAAAACAATAGTTTGCTTTTCATATACAAAAACAAAAGAAAATGAGAAAGGAAAAAGACCCTATTTACAATAGCAACAATAAAGACAAAACATCTAGGAAATAAATTTTTTAAATTCCAAGATAAAAATGAAAACTTAGAATACTTCATAGGGACACAAAGGATATTCCATGGTCTTGGTTATTAAGACTCAACATAATAGTGATGTCTCCAGGTTAAATGAGCCTATTAAAAACGTGAACAGGCTCTCAGAACTAAACAAGCAGATTGTAAAGTACATGTGGAAAAATAAGCAAGAATAGCCAGGGCAATTCTGAAAAATAAGTATAAACACATTATAGAGCCTCAATAAATAGAAGCTTGGCATTGCATAAGAGACAGGCAGCTAAGTGAATAGAACAGAATAGAACATCCAGAAATAGACTTATTTGTATAAAGTAGCATCTGAAATCAATGAGGAAGGAAATAAATTATTCAACCAACCTTTTGGAAGAAGTAAGGCCAGGGCCATGCCTCTCACTTTATTCTAGGCTAAATTCCATCTGGGTCAAAGTTTTAAATATAAAAATTGAAGCAAATGTTCTATGAAGAGAGATGATCAAATTCATTCCAAATAGGAAAAAACAGATTTTTACCCATCCAGTGATCAAAGATCCAAAAATATAACTCACTCTGTTAGAGCCCAGTTATTGATCTTGGATATGGCAGCATAAACTGGTACAACCCCATGGAGGGCAACTGTTCAAAATATATCTAATTATAGAAGCACATAGCCATTTCTAAGAATTTATCCTACAGGCACTTGTGTATTTATGCAGAAGGTTATTCACTGCAGCCTAACAGTCAGAGATGAAAAGCTATTTAAATGCCCTTCACTGGAGAACTGGTTAAATAAATTACAGTATTCCCATGCAGTGAATTACTGTACTCTTTAAAAAGAAAAGGAGTTATTTCCTGTATGAATATGAATAAACCCCAAAACATACCAAATCAAAAAAAGCAAGGTGCAAAATGTGTGTAATATACTGTTATCTGTGCAAAAGGGATGAAAATAAAAGAATATACATTTGCTTAAACAAGCACAGAATATCGGGAAGGATACACAAGAATAGTAATAAAAATCATTAACAATCATTGCCTGCAGAGAAAGGGGTAGATAGCTAGCAGAGAGGGGAGGAAGGCAGAATGTTCACTGTAATGTCCTTTTTTATTTCTGAATTTTGAATGTATTACATATTCAAAGAAGTTGTTTTAAAGAGGTAAAGGATAATAAACAGAACCAAAGCAATACTTCCTTACGGAAGGATTCTCAACTGGGATCAAGAAGGGATCCTTGGGGAAACATCTCTTAACCCGCCTGAAATTTTATTCAAAATGTATATATGTGTATTTTTCTTAGAAGAGAGTCATAGTTTTCATCCCATTCTCAAAAAGCCGAAGGACACGTAATAAAGAACCACTTCTCTAGAACACTTAGAAACAATCTCAGCAGTCTGTATTTATGCCACTTTGTCCTTTTTTATTAGCAATGTAGAAGATCATTTTTAAAATGTGAATACTCTAAAAAATGTATCAATAAATAAGTTACATGTAGTCCTGTGGGTACCACTACTACTTCTAGCTTCCTTTAAATGAAGGGGCACCCTGTTTCTTTTATAGCGAATTGTAATATGCTCAGCGGGGCTTAGATGAGTTAAACCACAGAACTCACACTTACAGGGCCACAGAGTAGTTAACTATCCGGCTCTTACAAATTGGTTTTTGAGGGTTATCAAAAACCACATGTAATCTAGTTAGTCATAGTTTTTTGAAAGTGTTTAGTTTTTTTCTGTGTTGGTCACAGATGTGTATCATATCTCTTTTAATGCTAATACTTGTTTGATAGCAAGTCAGAACTGTAAAGAGGTTAACAGGAAAAGCTACTAGTCATGTGTGATGTTGGGTAAATTCTTCTCTCTTTGAGCCTCTGTTTCCTTAACTGTGAAACAGATAAAAATACTCCTTAGAATTGTTCTTACAACAGTGTACCTGACAAAGTACTTGATAAATATTAGCTATTAGTTTTCCAGTCCTAATTCAGTGCTTTGCATACAGCATGCTAAAAATAAGTGCATTTTTGATTCATGGTTGGGAATCCACGAATATGGGGAGGGCTGACAAATGTTATATGGGGTGTACTCTGATATAAAATGGATTTTATCTGAGGAATATTTAGTCCAGAATTTGGTCTATTATGCACTTTTCTATGTATATAGCAACATGGTATAAAATGTGACCAAAAATAAAGTGCTGTATATATTTTTTAAAGTTATATGGAGATTTTTGATTGCATGGGTAGTTGGCACCCATTAACTCCGCATTATTCAAGGGTCAGCTGTATTTGCTAAATTCTGAGAGATCATTTAATACATACTTAAATCATTTTAGGTATTAATATATTAATTTTAAGTAATTGCCAAAGATTTCTTATCTTAGATTGCCTTTGTATTGTTTCAAAGGCTTATTGACATGGTCTTCAAAGATTTCTAAACAACTCTATTACTTCTAAAATGAGAAAAAAAATCTCAAGAACTTAAAAAAAGGCAATAAGCCACTCTTTAGTGCACCTGTAGGAATAAGAATTGTAAGAGTCTGACGACCTGATTTCAAATTTACCTTGTCATTGGCCAACTTTGGGCAAGTTACCTTACCTCTCTGAGTCACAGAATCCTCACCCATAATACCAGAATGATACCCACATCACATAATAGTAACATGAGCAAGCATTAAAAATGGGTTAGCAAGTATGGTGATTACTAGAGGGAAAGGGGGGCTGGGGCTGGTAGAAGAGGTAAAAGGGGGATAAATGGTGATGGAAGGAGACTTGACTTGAGGTGGTGAACACATTATACAATATACAGATGATGTATTATAGAATTGTACACCTGAAACCTATATGATTTTATTAACCAAAGTCTCACCAATAAATTCAAAAAAAATAAAATAAAATGTATTAAAAAAAAGAAC